CTGATGTCCAGAGGTGGGACGGGGGTGTGCTGGTTCGTGCTTAACATTTTAGCATTTGCCAAGAAGACCAGATGCATCTGAAGAGCCCTTGTCCTGCTTGCTGCACACCCCTCAACCTTCAGGCCCCAGGTCAGTAGCCCAGTACCTTCAGATGGTGGCCTCTGACCAGGACTCCTGAGAGGAGTAGGTGCCAGCAGCCTAATTTCCTGACACATGGCAAGAGAACACATGGACATCTCTGTGTTTTACAAGGAGACTGTCACGTAGCTTGAGAAGCAGTATCTTCTTGCATCAGAATAGAAAGAAAGAAAGGAGGTATCCGTGGAGAAAGAAACTGCTTCTGAAATTCCTTAAGAAATTTCTCAAGAAACGAGAATCTCCGTTTTAGAAAAAGTTTACGGTCACTCAGCGTTTTAGCTTATTCTCTGGATTCTTCCGTCTGCCCTAGCTCCTCCCTCACCCCTCCCCGGTCGGACCAGCTTTCTTCTTGTCAGTAATGGCAGGAGCGGGCGCGCCTTGCAGCTGGCCCTCTGTGATGGGGGGTGGCTTGCTTCCCTCAGCAGTGCGGTCTCCTCAGATGTCCCCAGGGACAGGCGGAGGTGGGGTGGGGGTGGGGGTTAAATGGCTCCTTCTGGCGAAGTGAAGGTGGGACAGGAGTCTGGGCGGCAGGCGGCGGGGAGGCCTGCACGCGGCACCCAGGAGCTTTGCACTTCCTGAGAAGAGTGTGTAATTAAGCAGGTAGGTGCATTTGGCTTTTTAACACTTCCATAGCTAATTGCTCTGACTTTTTCCGCCTTCTTTCTTCTGGCCTCGTGCTCCTAATGTCATCTAATAGCTCCTTTTTCTTTTAATGGCTGGCACCTCAAAGACCACTTTGTGCATGTTAATTAGACTTAGAGCATTTGGGGTTTTTTTGTTGGTCTGAATCCAGGAATATGAAAGCCAAATATTTTCTGTCTCTGCTTTTTACTGTTTTGTGTAACTGTTCTTCCTCCAGGCCTCTCAGTAACGCCGGATGCAGGAGCGAGTGCTTTGGCCGTGAGCAACAAGCTGGACCCGTTGTAGTTTTAGATCCTGTTTCCACACACAAACCCCAAACCAAAGACCAGGTCACTGAAAAAGATTCCACTCAGTGCAAGGATGGCGAAGATGAAATGAAACCAGAACACAAAGAAGACGGCATTGACAAAATGAGAGACACAGACAGCTCCCACTGCTGATCCGTACACCGGAAGGCTGACAGGTGTACAAGCCCTTTCCGACGAGTACGCGATCAGCTCTGGCGTATTGGCAAGCGCCATAGACATTCTGTTCTTGTCACTGTACTCAGAATGCAGGCTCTTTTCTGGTGTCACTTTTGTAAGTAATTTGCCTATAAACATAAGTAAGTTCAGCAAAATACACATCCTATGTAGGTTTTGTTTTTCTTCCTAGGGATAAGATGTTTTTTCTCGAATTACTGTATTGTGACTTCTTTTAGAAGGTTACAGAAAATTCAGATGTCTTATCTTTTTAGGTAACATGCATACCACTCATCAAGTGTAATGCTGAAAGTTTGCAGCATTGTGGATAAGTGGATAAACAGAACTGACCAACTTAAGGTGATTTAAGAACCCCCCCCCTCCCATAGCAGCTTCTGTTTTAGCTCTGATCTTTGTTGGAGAGAGAAACTACAATAGTGTGGAAATGGTGAGGCGCTGTGGCGTACAGATTCCTCTAGGTTATACCGAGCTGAACTTCAAATTCAGGAGCTGCGGACATCAAACCAGCCCTCCCAGAGTCCAGGCTAATAGCACGCTTTGTCAGCTGTGGAACGGGGAATGTGCACCAGTGACTGTGTCCAAAGCCTCCCAAGGACTCCAGTGGGAATGCGCTGGTGGCTCCAATGCAGAATGGAGGGGAAAGTCCCAACCTTGGGTTTCATAGAGTATTATCTTAGTAAAACATGTGCTCTGTGCTCCGAGCTTGTTGTGTGTTCTCCCGTACTGAGTAGCACCAGTACCGTGGTTTATCGCGATTCTTCTGTACCGTGACAAGAAGTGACAAGCACACAGTTTTCTTGCTTCACCGCTGTTCTACATTACACAGGTTTGTTGTGTGTGTGTTTTTTCTTAAAGAAATTAAGTGGTAGTTAGTCTCTAAAAATACAGTGTTTCAGTCTACCACAGTGAATAAATAGAAATGTAATCAGGGATTAAAAAAAAAAAAAAACTTACACAGCTTTTTCCAAGTTGATTGTTTCCAAATTGGTGTTGATTTAAAATAAGTAGTAATGTACTTGAATGCATTTTTTTATGACAATGATTCAGTAATGGTAATTTTACTATTAAAGAAAGTGAAAGGTTTAGTTTTGTTAGCGTGGCTCAGCATGTAGCTGTCAGGTGTTTCTCACCTAAGGGCAAAAGAAAATGATAGTAATAACGGCAGTTCTGTTTTCTTTTTGCACGTGTGCTAAGCGTAGGCTTGAAGAGGCGGGTAGGCAGGTAAATCAGTATACTTCCTAAATTTGGAGATAATTATCCTTCCGTAGGTTTGTTATGCTTGACTGTTTCCATGTTCTTCCAGTGATGATTTTACAGTTACTTATCGGTTTACTCATGGGGAATTAAAATGTAACGTTTTCCAATTGTAATTTTCCTAATCGAATAATACAGCTATATGATATACTAACTACAGACTGCATTAACTCTTAAACAAGTTCTGTTAGGCTGTGATTTGAACTCTCCTCGCCACACTTATTAAAAAGCACTGACAATTTCCCACTAAAGGTCCACTGTGGTTATTGACGGTTTTGGTTGAGTTCCCCAAACTGGTCACTCTTTAGTAAAAAAAAATTGCCTAAGAGTCGATAATTTTAGTAATTGTTAGTACTTTGCACCGTGGTTTATTCTGAGGAATTTTATCCCGTGTTTCTTCATGCTCTCCTTCCTGGGTCTGTCATGAGCCTGCTGGCAACGTGTTTTACATACACTTAGGAATATAAAGACGCACACAGACTCGTCATTCCATATTTCATCCCACACGTCAACAGGATGACGCACTTAGGAAAACACTGTCGTTTCCAGGGTGAGGAGGTAACCGCTTGGTGAGATGTGTTGGCTGGGCCAGGCAACACTTAGTACCTGGTGTTCGAAAGTGTGCTTGCCTTTTCCAAGTTGCTTTCTTACTTCATGGTGATCACAAAGCGTTGAGAATTAGTTTGACAGAAAGGTATCTGATAGAGGATTTTACTCCCCTTGTTCTGCCAGCAGTATTACTTTTCACATCAGTTTTGAGGAGGTTTTGCCCCTGCTGGGGTGCCCTTGTCAGCAAACAGTCCAGAACGGGAAGACACAGGAAGACTAGGGCTCGTATCTGCAGGGTACATTCTTAGCTATTTGCACAAAAAAATTGTAAATGAGTGAAAAGGAGGGGTGGCGTGGCTCTGGTCACTCACCAGCAACTCCGCTTTCCTCACCTTCTTTGATAACACACGATGTGTTGGAAATGGAATAGTGTAGGTACAAATGGTGGTTCGTTATCTTTCCAGACCACCGTAAGGTTGTAGGTTAGGTGAGGGCTAGTCCATATTACAGAATCCTGGATGATTTTTCTATGTGTGTTGAATTGCTTTCATCATGGAACAACGTCAGCTTATTTGGCAGTACTCTGTGGAGAGGGGACAGCTGTCCGTCGTCATCACTAACCTTAGAAGGATCATCAGACAGCCTTTATGTAACAGATTCGATTGGTTTGGAAGTTTCTTCCTGGCACTAACATTCCCCAGTCCTACCGTCATTGATGTACATGGGGTATGAGTAAAAGAGAGTAGTCTCTTTTACTTCTTTTATAGATAATAATTTCTATGTAGTGTATGTTACATGTTTTATACCGATGACGTATTAACATACATGTATGGAGAGAGAGAGAGAAGATAGAAGTAGAAACTGTGTTCATCACTTTGAGAAATTAGAATGTTCCCTCTCCGTTGGTGACCCCAGTCCTCGAGTGAGGAAAAGGTGGATGGGCTGTGCCCTGTGTTGAAATGAAAGCCCTGACCTGGTTGAGATAATAAATGACCCCTTTGGTTAATATAATTTTGTTACTGACTTAGTTTGTATATTTTTGCTCTGATTCCATTCATTTAATTATAATTCATGTTATGGTTCCAGGGCAGACTCTCCAATGATCTCCCCTGTTCCGTGTGTGTGTGAACGTGTGCAAAGGCTACGTGAACACCCAGTCATGTCCGTCCTGCCTTTAAAATGAATTTTCCAGGGGCGCCTGGGTGGCTCAGTCGGTTGAGCGCCTGACTCTTGATTTTGGCTCAGGTCATGATCTCAGGGTTGTGAGATCGAGCCCCATATCTGCTTGAGATTCTCTCTCTCCCTCTTCTTCTGTCCCTCCCCCCACACTCTCTTTCCCTTTCTCTCTCTTAAAAAAAAAAAAAAAATGAATTATCCTTCCTGTTTCTCATACCCCATTATATGTTGCTAAGCACCAGGACAGGCAGTAGCAACCACAAACTGAGACACAGTTCTCGCAACTTAGATACCAACCAGTCCTCCTGCCCTGGGCTGTGAGAGAATGTGCCACTGAGCCAATTTCAAATCACTGCTATGAGCATAAGGCCCTGGCTTTACCATGAGGCCATTAAGTTTCCCTGTGGGTACTCTTCAAAAGGAAAAGTTCTCAGTGTACTTAGTAAAAACTTACAGAATATATCAGAAATCTCAACTTAGGCAACTCTCCTACAGGTCAGTATATAACAATTTTTATAATTCTGGAGGAAAGCAAATGGTAACTTTAAACAGAGAAGCTAAAATATATAAAGCGGTAGGACATTATTATATCTATAGGTATGTGTTCGAATAAATTTATTTCTGGTACTTTTCTTCTATAACCCTGATACTGGCTTACAAGAGAGGCACTTCGTCAGCCTGTATGATAGATCGTTTTTAGTCCCCTGTTAGATGCTGTTGCATAAATAATTGAGCAGTTAATTACCTTAAGAATATGTATCCATTTACTGATGGGTTTATTCATTTATACTACCTTCTTTTTCCAAAAAGGATCTTAGGACACCCATAAGCATGTAAGTAATATAATAAAGATGAAAATTTAGAAAGAGGAGGGAATCAGGGAAAAGGGAATTAAGGGTAAGGAAGTAAGAAGCTGTTTGGCTGGTAAAAAAACTGAAGTTCTCACACTTCTTCCTGTATGAGGCTGGCCACAAAAATGTGCCTGTGCTTTCGGGCACCAGTACTCAGCTGCGCCGAGTGTGCACTCAGCAGCAGAGGTACTGGACTCTTTTACTAGGTCGTGGCCCCCCAAGTGGACAGGAGAGCTGGTACACAAACGAAATCCCCATGGAAATGGGATGTCTGGAAGACCCAGCTCACAGGTGTAATTTCGGGCAGAAATACGACATATCGACGTTACCAGTGAAATCACAAGAATAAAAAGAGTACATTGGTTAGGGATGTTGTCGGGCAAAGCCAACGTGAGGACACACACGGGTTCTGCGGGTCTCATGCTAGTGGTGTGGCCGAAAGCCGGCCTGTCCAGAAGACGCTCATGCTTTGGCTGATGACTCCATCACTTCTGTGGGGAAGACGGGCTCCAGGAGCTCGGGCAGCTCACCAGCCATGGTGGCCACAGCCTCGGGTGCCTTGGTCCCCTTTTCAGCTTCGTCATTCAAGGGAAAAGTGTGTTCTCCATTGAAACCTACTCAACAACAACAACAATAAAGTTTAGTGTAAAATCCAGTGGTGCGAAGTTTGATGTTTTTTGTTCTGTGATGTAAAGGAGACTATCTTCAGAACTGCCCAGAGGCGTCCCCTCACCATTAGAAAAGGTCCCAGGACCATTTAAAACTGGGCCTGACTTTGTTCAGACGTTAACTGTACAGTACACTTGTTTTGCTCAGTCTGCATGGTGCCCTTCCGGAACATTTGGTGTGCAGTGGACTTTGGGCAGAGGCTTAGCGGAAGAGGAGCGGCCAGTCCACTACGTGAGTACAAACCATCGCCAGCTAAGCATTCCCACGCGGACGACTGCAGACTCAGTTCCAGTCGGGTCCATGTGGGCAGTGACAGTGCTCAGTTAATAGCTGAGCTTTTACAGGATTTCCTACTTCTCTCAGTGGGGAGATCTGTCTTTCCAGTTCTTGGTCCCCTTCCCATTTATCGACCACTGTCAGTAGGGTGTATTGACCACAGGCCAATGACAGAGAAATTCTCATCACAGGCACACCTCCGAGATCCCATCGGTGTGGTTCTGGACCACTGCAGTAAAGCGAGTCTTGAGAATTTTTTGGTTTCCCAATGTATATAAAAGTTATGTTTACACTATGCTGTAGTCTGTGAAGTGTGCAGTAAATAGCATTATGTCTAAAAAAACCAGTGTGCCTACCTTAAATAAAAATACTTTATTGCTAAAAAATGCTAACCATCATCTGAGCTCTCAGCGAACCACTGATCATCATTTTTTGCAAGAATGAATAAAAGACACAGAGACGTGGAATGAGCAAATGCTGTTGGAAAAATGGTGCCCAGCAATTTGCTCGACGCAGGGTTGTCACAAACCTTCATTCTGTAAAAAATGCAGTGTCTGAGTAGTAAAGCAAAGTGCAATAAAATGAGGCATGCCTGTAATCTGTTAATCTAGTCCAGAATGCCCAAGGCTTGGCCCTGGCCCTGAGGGAGGGTCTGGGCCTGCGGGTCACTGTCCTTTCTCATGCGTGGAAGCAGCTGTTTCTCTTGTGGTGAAGTCTGGCTGGAAATGTGATGGGCCATTTAGGAATTTAAGGCTTTCACAAGTCAGGATGACATAAAAAAAAAAAAAAAAAACCCACCAGGTAATACGTAGGAACAATATGATTTTACCTGTTTGAAAAAACAAGCCCTGTGTCACACACTAAACAACACAAACTAACTATTGATTGCTCTTGAAGGATCTCTCAATTATATTTTTATTTTCTATGAAGCTTAGGTTGTGTTTCAAGGTCATAACATACGTTAAACATGACAAATTCCTAATTACAATTTCTATTGGCTTCTTTATTTTTTCAATGTATATCCTGGGGCCCAACACAGGACTACTTCCTTGCTGTCATATGCAAGAACGGGTTTGCCCTACACTACAGGCCCTAATACGTTTATCATTTAATAGATTTCATGTATAGCATCCAAGAAAATTTCATACTTTGTCAACACTACTTAAACACTTTTTTCCCAGCGTAGTGATTTGTTTATCCTAAAATGCAAACTATTTTTAGAATTACAAAGACAATAACTTGGTCTCTTTAAATATCTCTGTGTGCTATGCACCTGCTTTTGGCCATCACAGTACTGTGAAGGGTAAAAATGCATCTTTGGGGTATTTTTCTCCAATTACCCAGTACACAAGTTGCCTTCTATGCATGCAAATTTGCAGAGGTTTGACTTCCTAAATGATTGGTTCGTTTCTCTTGAGACCACAGCCTTATTATGACGTTAAACTTAACATGCCGTCTGCTTAAGTACAAGGAGTTGTTTTCAAGAATCGTCAGGATAACATCTGCCTTTAGCTTTTCAGGGGCTGTCAGAGAGACCTTAGCTATAATTTGGACCATAACAAAAGGTAGGCTTGGAGATTCCAATCAATTAATTCTATTGAAAAGCACCATGCAGCTTATTCATCAAGAAGAAGGGCGAGAGTTTGAAACATCCAGGTAAATAGATAATCCATTAAGAAAACAATGCACATTGCGGCAAATGCCAGCCTAGTTTTGTCAGCACTTAGTTATGGTCTTTGGATTCCCCTGCCCTCCTGCCGAGGGTCTCCTATTCCCCTTCTTCCAATCTTTGTTCTCTTATTCATGGCTAAGTGAAAACAAAACAAGGAAGCAGCACGTACCCAGTGTTCCATTCTGGACAAGTTCTTCCTCTATAGTAAAAAGGCGGTTGTACTTAGTCACCCGCTCGCCACGAGAAAGACCTCCCAACTTGATAAACCGGACACCAAGTCCGATGGCCTTCGGGGGGTAGGAGTGGGGGGACAAAATTGATATTAAACAAGAACTCAACATTTTGCTAAAATACAAACAGTTCTTTAGGGAGAAAGGGCACTGGCACTGTGCTGTTTTGGTTTTTCTCTTACAACTTTGTATTCTATCTTTATGTAGGTAAGGTGGCCTGCTTGCAAACTGAGAGTGGCAAAAGGTAAACAGCATGACTACATATCAGATGCTTTACTAGTCATGTGAGCATGCTGATTTTATCTGAGAATGGTCTGGCCTTTCTTGCTTCATTTTAGGCGGTAAGATTGCAAGTGCACACCCCAGCCGTTTAAGTGTGCTCATCATTTTCCCAGGACTTCAATTTTTCTTCTTTTTAAAAGTTCAAAGATTAGCTCTTTGCAAAAGGTAGCTGTCTGGGAGGAAGCAAGTCTATTTCATAAAAGGTTACATGACTTTCTCCGCCAAAGACTGCATTTCTCTGAAATACCAATTCATGATAAAAGCAGTGTTTTGGCAATTCTGCAATTGACCAGCTTTCAGTACTTACCAAATCGACTAGGCTGTCATCAGACGACTCTCCTTCTGTACTTCCAAAGATGGCGATGTGCTTCTTACCTGTGAGCAGAGGAATTCTTTTCAGGTTTAGATGGCATAGAAACAGTGAGCATAAGGGCATGTGTATGTATACACACACACACGTATATATGTGTGTGTGTTTATGTGCATATAAATACAAATACACACACACACACACACACATATGAGCCTCTGGAACCAAAATTTAAAACTTGCCAAGATTTATAACTTTCCTGTGAAGAGTCAGTGATTTGACCACCAGAGAATTCTGACCTAAACATTTGTATTTTTACTACCCTGGTTTTATCTGTTTATCTCTTTGCAGTAGCTCAGATGCTAAATACTACACGAATGCCAAATTTCATCAAATTTAAGATACCATAAATTGTAAGACCTTTAGGACCACTAAAGGGGAAAATGCTCAGATTAGATTGACCTGTTTCTAGGACCACAGCTGTAAGACATGACTCCATCTTGTCCATATTCACTGTAGAAAAGTGTGCACCTATGAGAGGTGCAAGGGCATCATTTGGGGAGCTGATAAGCCTTATTGGATTTCGCAATTCATCATGTAGAATTATATTCAAAGGAATCTGTCGTTCTGAATGTTAACTTATTAGAAGAGCAGTGTTGATGGTCCTTAATCCAAATTTGAGGAGCTCAGAACCCCTTGGAAGTTTGCCACGTCTACAAAGAATGCCAGCCCCAAGGTTCTTTCTCCAGAGACGGTGTTTGGTGTTTTTGAGGCAGGGGCTATAGTAGCAATCCAAGGTGAGTGACAGCATGCCTGCTGAGTGGTGGCCCCTGGAGGAAAGGCCAGGGCTGGGGCCTCCCATCTATCACCTACAGAAACGCCCTCCCTGGGCCCTCACCTGGGCCGTCTGCAGCACAAGGGACACAGGCACACTCCATGACATTCTCTGGCACCAGCTCAGGCCCCTGGCCGCCAGCCTGGCTCTGAGCCCTGCTCCAGGTCTTAGACAAGCCTTCTGCCTAGTTCCTGAGACCTACTCACGTTTCAGGCACTGAAAAAGACTCCTGTGAACTCGTGGGACTTTATAGTCCAGTGGCGGGGGGGCACCAGACATTAAATATTCGTACATGTAATTGTGGCCAGTACTACAAAGAGAAAGTACAGGGAGCTATGAGGGCTTTTCAGAGCAAGCAGGTAGGGGTGGGGGAAGCCAGGAAAGTCACATATATCTGAAAAGGTTTCCTTTAAGGAAAGACGTGAAGGATCAGGAGTAGTTAGCTGAGTAAATGGTACAGGGCAAAGCATGTTCACAGACCTCACACTGGCAAAGAGTTTGAAACTTGTGAGGAATTTTTAAGAGCTCAGGGTGGGAGAGTGGGATCACTGTCCTGTGGTGTGAAGCTGATAGGGCACTGTCCTCAGCCACACCTGTGAGGCAGCTCCCCCTGAGGGGGGCGCTCCTGGACTGGGACTGCTGTTGGGACCACTGGGAAGTGGATCGGTGAGCTATATATAGCTGCAAATTGTCTCCCAGTAGTAGAGCTCTCACAAACGGCTGGAAATCTGCTTTTCTTCCAAGATTCACACCATGCTTTTTATTAACTGACAAACTGCATCTTTTTGGCTCCTTGTGTAACCAAGCTAAGTTCCTTATGAGTCTTGTAGACCTATACTTCTACTCACTGTCAAGAAGATTGGTTATTTCCACCAAGTCAGACATCGTAGTTTGGTTGGTATGTTTGATGATCAGCCCGCTGGATTTGGGGGTGCTGATGTCACCACCCTCTAGAAGTTTCGAAATGCTTTTGGATGCAGCTCCTGCAATGATGTAACACCTGGAACCAAGAGCATTACAGATGCTGTCCCACTGTTCAGAGTCCTGGGTAAATATTTAAGAGCCGATCGTTACAATGGATTAAGCATGTCACAAAACAACAGGAACCCTACAGCTCCTCCTCGGAGTTAAACACCTTTCTGAGATCCACAAAACAGTTTTCTGTTGTTTCTGCGGCTGAATGATGCCTGAACCACAGCCACACGAATTAACTAGCTTCATTCAACAGAAACTTCAAATGATTAAATTTGAGCTTAAAGATCTGATGGATAAAATGTTTAACACACAGTAAATGCTCCACATTGATTCGGAAGTCCTTTGAACCCAAGCTATTCCTACCCACTGAATTATCCATAACACCACTAACAACTGGCTGGCCAGAAGATTCTACTGTTCTTTCTGGTGAACAGACAACAGAAGGAAATGAGCCTGGGGGGGCTCTGGGCTCTCCTCCTCAGCACTCTCGTTTTTCCTGGTGAGACCATCCCATGAAATGAAATACTCAGTGTTTTTTAACTGATGATCTACAAAGTCTCCCACGCCTCTGTACCAGATTCAGACCTATCCCACTAGAGCAGCCCAAACACGGGCCATCTTGCCAAAGGAAAACCAGCTGAGGCCAGAGCCCGGGGACAAGGCCTGGAAGACGGAGGCCGACAGGATAAGGAGCTCGGCCGCGGCTCTGCAGGCGCGGGGCCGGGGCGCAGCGAAGCGCTGGGACCCCGAGCACGGCAGCTCTCTTCTCGGGCCCCACCCTCGAATCCGGGCCTGGTCTCCGAGAGGGCGGGTCTGTTCAGTGTATCTAGTGGTTCTCTCCACGCCGTACTGCCAAGAATTTAAGTTTTGGAGTCTCCGAGTGTTAGGGAGAGCGATGGCCTGCTGCGGCATGCGAACAACTACAGCATGGGATGCTGTAGCTCCAAGAGATGGAAGAAACTCACCATCTGGAACCTTTTTTAAAAATCCGGCTTTGCAACTTTCCTGCGTGTGTGGTAAGTGGGTGGAGGTTGGGCACACGGGGCCTAGCCGAGGTCAAGTTTCTGGTCGTATTAGCACGGGCGTGGGACGGGCCCACTGGCAAGTGGCTGGCTGGCTGTCCCCAGGCTGCTCGTGAAAACACGGGGGCCGCCCCCCTGCCCCGCCCCAGTGCCCGGGAAGAGCTTGTTCATTCTGCACACAGGCACACTCCCAGGCCGTCGTGCTTGGGCTCTGTGTTTGCTTACTGCGTGCCCCCCTCACCTATGCTGAAGAAAAGCCCCTCCACCCCAGCCCAGATGGCAGTGTTTCGAGCGACCAAGCCAAAAGAATGAGATTTTGCTCTGTGCTGTTATAAAATTCAAGGTGAATCCCGTTACCTCCTTCCTGAAAGGATCGATTAAGGCGATAATTGAAGGGAACCTGTCGATCAGATCCACGTACAGGTCAACCATCTCCGCTGCGTTTTTGTGTATTCCCAGCATCACTTCATACTTTCCTCTACTCTGGCAAGCGGAATACAAACAATACAACAATAACAAAATAAAGATAAATGAGGAATTCCTCAAAGGCGAAAGGCTGGATTCCCATTCGTGTTTATTCATTGCCTACGAAAGATTGTACATGTTCTTTTTGGGCCGTATTCCTATGAGACATCTGTGTACTTTTGTTTAAATATCTGTTAAATATTAGCCTGGGGAAATGAAGTCACCATTCCTCTTCATGCCCCATGGAGCTCCTCCCACGGACTTCAGATGAAGCCTTCTACGCAAAAGACCAGGTACACAGTAGCGGGGCACTAATTTCTTACTTAGGCTTGTGACGGGCCAGCTACCTGGCTGCTGGGATCCTCGGGCGGTAACATGAATTTATAAAGCAGGACAGCAGTGCCTAGCTTCCCACTCACCAGAACCCACTACCATTCCGCTCACAGTAAACAAACAGCTGGTCTCCTGTACGGCGAATATCCTAAAATTTGAAAGTAGGGCGAAGCTTTGGAGATACGAACAGCCACTCTGAACTGCCCGGTGACCCATGTGAAGGCATCTCCTTCTCAGGTAGTGTGCATGCTCTACCAGCACCCATGTGGTTCCGAAGGAGTTCTAGTTCAACTCCATTCATTTGAAGTCTGGAAAGCACCCCCGTCATCAAGAATGGCAGTAAACGGGGCTAAAGGATCGAGTGTCGTCTCTGCAAAACCTAGCACGGATTTCCAAGTCTGTGTCGGGGGATGGCCCCTGGGTTATTCAGGTACCAGGAAGGAGGCAGGAGGGAACAGAATGACTGGTTTGCTAACGCCTTCCTGCTATGGCTATCAATGGAATGGATTCCATTGGAATTGAGCAGGTTCCAAAGAAATCCATACTTGAAAGGATTTTATACTTTTCTCAGATTAAAAAGCAGCCAGAACTTTTAGTTTCTTTACTGCAAAACCTTGAAAATCCTATCTTGTCAGTAAAGAAATGCTAATGACGTTGAATTAACATTGTAAGAATTATCTGATATCAAGCTAATACATTTCACTGAATATAAGCAAAAAATACCCATTCCAGGCAGCACTAGCAGTCAGTATATTCATAGTTCTTGGTATACGTTGCTGATGAAAACATGCAATTATTTTTCGTAATAGTATGTCTAGGAACCAATCATTATGTGGAGAATAGGAAATTACATTAAACATGCCTTCGTGCGTGTAGTATCTTTAGAAAAGTTAAAAGGGCTTAGAAGTCAGCTGAAACTTAGGGTTCTTATATGCTGTTCAAGTTTCCCTTTGAAGTTAAAAGAATTGCAAATTAAAGCGGAGTTGTCTTTGGCCATGTCCCCTGAATTTGACATTGATTACCAAGTCACCACAATGTCTGTCAACACGCTGGGCATTGTATACAACACAGGCTCCGCATTTGTGTATTCGAAAAAGGGAAGTATGTGTAGAAGACAGACAACTTTTATCAGTTTTGCGAATATGCCAGCTTCCCAGGTTGAAAGGTTAACTGCCGCTCTGTTATCCTAAGGAGGTGAGGACTGCAGCTTTTAAGAAATGAACCCGTTTTCCATTCTTTTTTAAGTAATTGCCCCCACGTGGTGTCGTCTCTGGGTGAAGTTTAATCGCTAAAGCTCTGTCCTCCTAACCCAGGCTGTGGTTAACACTGTGGATGGGCTTAATTGGATAAAAAAATATTCTCCACAAATGTCAACAACTTGGAAATATTTTTATATTTAAAAAGTGAGTCACAGCAGAAACTCAGAACCACTTACTTGGCCAGAAGGGCTTACCAAGTTCCAGTTACAACGGATCCATTTTCCATGCTTGACAAATTCAGCATCTACCAACCAAATGAGTGAACTCAGCGGAACATACCAGTTTGTTATTTTTCAATAGCTCTCACAATTGCAATGTAAGCAACCCATTTTAGCAATTTTTGTTACAGAATTTCTGTATGTAATTATTTTGACATTTTCTGTTAATTTTTAAAATTTACATGGTTATGTTATTTTCTGGTCATTAGCTAACTGGGCTTTCTCGACTCCATTTATATGTGGAACCCTCACACAATATTAATAAAAGCAATAGGATCTGTTTGGAAAATATTCAGATACATGTTTCTTTCGAGTTCTAATTTAAAAATAATAGGACCGAACAAAAAAGTAAGTGTCCTGGAGCAGAAACTTACATAATCCATCAGCTCATGTGCAGCACAGTTGATGGCTAGGTGCAGGTTTGTGCCCATGTCCAGCCCCAGGTTCGCACAGATGCCTTGTATTAGGATCAGCGGCTGCTCTATGGTGTCGTAATTAATGGTCAAACAGCCAAGATGGGACATCTTGCCAATGATGGGCTGCTATAAGACCGAAAGCAAATGATGCATATAAATATAGAGCAGTGAAGTTCTTGGAGCTTCCTGGTTATAAACTAGGCACTGCTGATAACCCGACACAGCGCTCTAAACATGTGGTCCTCTGAGTCTGCCTTACCCTTATGTCCAGGTGTCCCTCATCTCTGCATGACCTTTGGGCATATGATTGCCCAAAGTGTCTGGAGTAATTTTCCTACCTCCACGGTTTCAGGCTTGACCTGGGAACACTCTTGTCTCTCTGGTGTGCTGTATAATGTCTTGATCAGCTGTGTCACTGTACACAGGCTGCCCTGAGCCGCAACCCCGAAGTGGGCGGAACTCCAGGCTGTCCTTGTAAATGTCTGTCCCGCCTGTCCTTACCTCTGTCCTCCTCCATCCACTTCCAAACCTGCTCTTTCCTGTGTTCTATTTTCCTTTTGAAGAATCTAAGTGTGAACAGGGAACCCTCCTTCAGGAAAGGTTTTATTTGAATAAGGGTAGAAGATCTCTGCTAAAACAATGCAGCACTGCGGATGGATTTCAGCGGAAGAAGGTTTGGCACCCAGAGCAGCCCACGGAAAGGCAGCCATGTGTTTCTGGTGCAAGGTCAGCCCTGACGTGCCCTCCTCATAAGTTGCCACTATGAATTATAACACATTTGAAGCAGTATCAGTGATTCTGAAGGGTGTGTGTGTGCATGCACGCCAAACTTGAGGGCAAACATGAACCTAGGTAGAAATATCCCATTTCTCTGCTGATCACACTAGTTAATTATAAGAACCATCTGACATTCTTAATGTCAGAGACAGGAACCCTTTATTTGGCAAAGGAATAGGTGGGGAAACTGCTGTGTATCAATTGAGTTTTGTGAGAGTCTTCTAAACTATAAAGGCATCACTTATTTAGAGCTTATTAAATGCCAGTTACTGTTCTAAAGGCTTTCCATAAATACATTTACTCCTTACATCAACCCCCTGAAGCAGGTACTATTATTATCCCACTTTACAGAGCGGTAAGTAACTTGGAACAGATTTTAATCCAGGAAGTTTAGCTCCAGAGTTCATGCCTCTTAACTGGTAGTGGCTGCTTCCCTAGAATCTACCATTTAATCTGTTTCTAACAGAAAAAAAAAAAAAAAAAGTAGGAAAGCTGATCATGGGAAGGGCTGATCCTGGTCTGAGTTTCTCAGAACACACAGGACAACCTGCTGGAATGAGGCGGACGTCGCTGACACTTGGTTGCTCGGTCATCGTGCCCTGACTCTCTTGCAGGGTCTAACTTTAGAGCCTGTGCTCATCCCAACAGATACAACCGTCAGGTACTTAACTTTCTGGTGTATTTTTTCACAGGTTTCTTTCTCCCAGTGTTGAGGAGGAGTTTAACTTTTCATCTCTACTAGCCCCATCGCCACTTGCATTGTCTCCATGATTCTTACTGGTTATTCCAACTATATTGTTGAAAGTTCAGGCATCTAAGAGGTGTATCTGCCTGAGCACCCACAGTCACCAAAGCTGTTGTCTGATCAGGTAGAGGTGGTTTCCTAAGGCTCTTGAAGCCACCCTGGCCAATTTGGACAATAACTGTTTGTCTGAGGCTACCGACCAAATCTGAGCTCCGGGAATGGTTCATCTGAAATGGTGCTTGGGTGCCTTTTCAGTACCCGAAGAAAGAAATGGCTATCACTTTGTGCCTTTTGTTTCTCTCTTACTTGGTAGGGGTAAGATTAAAATCAATATGACTTTCAGCTGGTTAGCAGAGATTCACCTTCCCCAACACTTCACCTATCAAGTTTCAACTATAATCTATTATATTGGATTCATAAATGCTTCTGCACACCCTCTGAGCTGTCCGTTAGAGAGACAACTGCTGGCCCGGCAACCTGTGGCCGGGGGAGGGGGGGGGTGGCGCAGAATGACATTCCAGCTCTGGGGTCATCGGGTTTAGTGTTCCTGGAGGAGCATCACTGCGTAGTTTCCGAGTGCATTAGCCCTGCTCCTGGAGCACCGTGACTGGGGTTGGAACAGGGGCAGGGAGTACATAAATGAATTGTGTCATATTGAAGTGTGGTCAAGAAATACATAAACTTACTTGACCTCTCTTGCTTCCATTATGCCCTTTTTTGGTCTCTGTTTTTGGAGGGGGCTGCAGGACAGAAAAGAGAGAGAGAAATCACTTGCCATTTTCAGACATGCCTGCAGCAGCGAGCAGAGCTTCGGGTCCTGGGGCCTGTCCACTGCTCTGGGGCCTGACCAGTCACACTGTGAATCGCACACACACCACACACCCCCCCCAACCCCCCGCCCCAACACGTAGGGACCATACCAGCCCCTCTTGATTTTGAAAAACTCCAAACTGTTTCTCATACTCAGGTACGTGTTCCCTTTAGTTCATCCTTATATTCTGCCTCCATTCATAGAAATGCATTTCTACTCATATAAATAAAGTATTTTTCACTCCTATGACATTCCCTCCTTGCCCTTAGGGAGCAACACCACTGTGGGATCTGCCTTTAGACTGTTTTGAATATTGTTTTAAATATTGTTAAGGTACAAACACTTTCTCCGCAGGGTGGATTTGACTTCTGGAAACAACCAAAGGTCATTAAATCTGATGAATCTGGTATGTGTAATGTCATTTGAGATGAAAAGCAAAGATACTTTCCAAAGATGATTGGTCATTTTCAGTACCCACAATGTGGGGTGTTGACAGCGTTCTGGAGCAAAGATTCAGCCTTTAAAGGATGCATTTTAATACCCAGCATTTCCTGGCTCTGTAAACTGGGGCATGTTTGTCAAGAATCAGCAGGGCTCACACTTGACTACCTGCAAATACAGTTCTCCTGCTTTTTTGCACTGTGGAGTCAGCTGAACTTTCTATCCCCTGGTAAAAATACCACGCTTGGGAAGCAAATCAATGTGCAAGGCAGGAGACATATAGTGGTGAACAAGACAAACACGGGCACAACCAGGGACTCATACTGTCATCGTCCTGCTGCTGTGGCTTCCCCCATCGAGGGCTGCCTGGCCAAAGGCTCCCGTTTGCCCAACCGGGATTCTAAGTAGACACCAGAGCCTGTGCCTTAACTATTACACTAAACTGCCTCGCACATCCTAGGGACCAAATCCTTTCTTTGCAAATCCTAAGGGATGATCTTAGCATAGAGCCAGCTGATGAGATTGTTAAGTGCCATCAGAAACTGGATCCATGGCCAATGAAGGAACGTATATGCTTAGCTCATGTGAAAAACCTAAGGCAAATGAATACATTTTACATATCAATAACAACAATATTGAGTTAATTTCATAATGAAGTATAATTTGTATACTAGGAGGTGTCAGTATCAGCAATTAGATACCATAGATTCTCTTTACATACCGTTTCAATTGTTCTGTTAATTTGTTTCTGAATTTCCAGAAGCATCTCCACGCCCTGTAAGTAAAATAACCGTGATCTAGTAAAATAACGATGATCTTCCACAAGTGTAGTCTAGAAACTTTAAATATAAAAACTTACAGCACACACTGGCTATTTCTAACTGAATATTTATAGGGTCCCTGATAAGGTATTCTGGTTAGTAGATTAGATGTGGTCTACAAAATCAGAAGATTAAATGTTAATCTTCAGCCCTCAATTTTTATTTGGTTGTATATGAACGAGGCTCTTCTCAGTATCCTTTCTTCACTGTTCAGGACTGACTGGTTCAGTTGGTTGGATCAACTCAGCTTCATTGTCTTTCATAGTCTCTTGACCAACCCTTTTGCAATACATGTCATAGGTCACCAAGGGATTCTGCATGACAGTGTTTGAATCAGTATAAAGCTGCTGTCACTTAAAAAAAAAACAGGAAAGTATGTTCTGATGATTGTGGGATCTGCATATGGAGACAAATAAAGGATGGCATGCCAACTACTCTGGTACCTGAATAGCACAACAGAAAGTAACTGCAGGAAAGATGCCGGTGCTAGGGTCTGAACATGATCTGACAGATGGTGAGCCAGCTATGAATTGCTAGTGTTCCACAATCAGTACATCATGAGGGAATGGTTATTTTCTTTAAAAAAGAATTCCTATCATGAAGAAATTATCTTGAGATTTAAGAAAAAAAAATGATTCTCTCTAGCTTAGGTTAAAAATATCACTCAATGTATTACCAGAGGGGATGGAACTTCCTGTACTTTTTTCTGAAAACATCCACTACAGAACATGAACATAAGTTCTTCCTAACGCCTAATTGGTAGAATATTTCATGAAGATTTAAAGAGGCATATGGGCTCATTCAGGCCAGTGAAGAACAATATACACACTAGCACACCCTAAGTATAAAGAGGCAACTTAGGATTCCTTCATTCTAGAAGCATGCGCTGAACCTCTCTTCCATGCCAGGCAGTCTGGTTGGCCCTGGAGCTCTTCCTGAACAGAACTGGCTTTTAGGAAAGAGCCAGCTTCCTCTTGCTGCCACCACAGTGCCTTGGCCAGTAAATAAAGATGCCTCGACTCCCCCAGATAACAGCTTTCCAGCACTATCAAGCCTGCCAAGTCACCCAGGGCTCCTTGGTGAGTCACCGGCACGAGTCAGTGCTGAAGGGAACCAGAGATCGAAGGTGGCTTAAATGTGCCCCTTGCATTTGAGGTCTTGCTTTTTTCCTGCTTCTCTGATTTCCTAAAATATTTTTTTTCATTTTATGTTTAATTCTCCCTCCCTTGGTGTCATAAGCCTTGGGAACCTACACTAAAGAATCCTCGATGATGGAATATTATTATTATTATTAACTTTTTTATTTTTTAGAAAAAGTAGTGTGAGGGGCACCCGGGTGGCTCAGTCGGTTGGGTGTCTGACTTTTGATTTCGGCTCAGGTCGTGATCTCAGGGTCCTAGGATCGAGCCCCACGTTGGGCTCCATGCTCAGCCGGGAGTCTGCTTGAGATTCTCTCTTTCCCTCTCCCCCTCCCCCTGCTCATGCTCTCTCTCTAAATAAATAAATAAAATCTTAAAAAAAAAGAAAAGAAAAAGTGGTGTGAGATAATAGAAGGTACTTGTTTAGCTGTTAATCCAGGATGGGGTATACAAATCACTTCTTTCATTAAATTCAGCTTCCCAGGTGATGACTTCCCGCAGCTGACCAGAGACACCATGGGCAAAGGTACAGTTAGCTTTGTGGGCTGTTCCTGGAAGAGGGAAAAGCAAGACAAACAAGAAACACAGTTCATTGGTGTTGAGATACTCACAGATCCTTGTAATGGAATGCAATGGATACTGACCTGACGGTGCTTCAGTAATGCAATATTTAAGTAGAGGGGGTTATTGTCCAGGATGGCACTGGTTTTGGCCACGGCGAGTGACACGGCCCCTATGGCCATGCTGCCATTCAGTACAGGTTCATCGGGTTCTGGAGGCACAATGGGTTTCTCTGTAAAAGTATCATTCCTCCCTGGAGGGAAAAACAGGGATAAAAGATTCCTTTTGAGGACGTTTGACTACGATAAAACTATATTTTTTGACGCTTTGCTTACAGATGTGAAGGCCCAGAGTAAAGAAAGGGGGGAAACTGAGGCTGGGGAGAACATGTTCTCCACCTCAACCCCCGAAGAAGTTTCTGTGTGACTTCGCTTACGACTCCCGAATGTTCAAATCATTTGTAGCCATGGATTTTGCCACTCCAAGAACTTTTCAGACATTCAATATTAACTCCTTAGACAATCATATAGGGCAGGTACTGTTATCCCACATTCACATAGAAGTAAACTAGGGCTTAGAGGGATCAAAAGACTTGCCCGATATCCAACAGAAAGTGAATGAAGAGGATCTGGAGTCTGAATTCCAAGTCCTTTGTTTTCTACACCCACCATAGCGCCTGTGTACCCAGCTTTCTGTTGAACACGTCTCTTCATGCGTGTGTGTCTGACTAGTAACCTTGCTGGCCAGCCCCAAACAGATGCATCGTTGTATTAGAAATGGCTTCCAGATCCGGCCATCCACCCTCGGCCTCACCCACCTTTCACACTCATTTGTTCCCAGCCACCCAGCCTGCTCAGGTGCCACGCCATCCATTGTCAATGGCTAGTGCCCCTCCCCCAGCTGCTGGCCTGCGTCAGGCAGGTAAGCCAAGTGGAATAGGCACGGAACCCCATCACACGTCGTAAACTGTCCCCTCCTCCTTCGTCCCTTCTCTTACGCTCCAAGTTCTGTTAGGCAGCAGCCACCGCCAAACGGATACCTTCTGCGGATCTCTAGCTGTAACTCAGCAGTGGCTATCCCCCCGTTCATGGAGATTGGTCTTACACGATTCTTTTGCCTTGGGAGACTCTCCTTCCCTTTCTGGGCCTCAGCATCTGAATCTAGGAAATAAGAAACCATGTCTCCATGGTCTCTTTGATCCCCTTCCTGGTTCTGGTGCTTTCTTATTCAAGGGAACCCACATTTATTGGGTGTTTACTTCGTGCTTTGGCATCATGCTAGGCACTGGTGGTGCTAAATTGAATGAGACATGATTCATGCCCTCAAGAAGCCTGTTGGAAAAACATAAAACTCTATTTACAATACTAGCAGCAGCTCCAGAATTAACATACTAGAGGGGCTGAAGTTCACAATATGTTGGAAAGCATGGAACAAAGGGCCATGATAACTTTGATTATTTGCTTTAAAAGAGCAAAATCTTCCAATGAAAACTTTTTTTTTAAAAGATTTTATTTGAGAGAGAGAAAGTGAGTGAGAGAGAGAGAGAGAGAGCAGGAGCAGGGGCGAGGGGCAGAGGGAGAAGCAAGGAGCTGATGCAGAGCTCCAATCCCAGGACCCCGAGATCCTGACCTGAGCCAGAGGCAGATGCTTAACAGACTGAGCCACCTAGGCGCCCCAAGAAAACTTTTATTAATATGTTATTAATAGGACTGAGAAAAGGTTGGTTATTCATACCAAAGGATATCGTTAATCTTTATAATATGGAGTGGCTTTTGATGAGCTAATGAATATTTTGGGGGGCAGTTAAAGGTCCCCCATGCCACTTTCCTTTTCCCTGTCCCCAGCATTGTCACTGTTCAGTGCACTTTGCTCAGTAAGTGCTCACCTCTGGGTAAGCAATAGTTTTTCCTTACAAACAAAAGGGAGGGTGGGATGGAGCAAAACCCTGCCTGCCCAACATGGCAGCGTCGAGCAAGGAAGTGGCCTGGAGGGTGGACGGTACCCGGGGCAGCGGGGGGGGGGGCGGGGGGGTGGGGAGCCTAACCTAGGTCTGCAGCAAAAAGACTCTAACTGGAAAGATAGTCCGAGCTTCAGCCTTTCTTCCTCACACGCTAGTTATCAAAAGTTCTGCAAGGAGCCACTGACCTTGCTTTTGTCCCCTTTTTCTGGCTGGGGGAGGAGGAGGTGGTGGTGGTGGTAGAGGCGAAGGGATGAGCACTGCTGGGTCTTCCAGGCCCCTTTCCAGGTCTCTCCTCTCTTTGTCTTCTCGTACTTTATTTTCAAAGAATGTCCTTCATGGCAAGAAAATAATGGCTTTACAGTGAATATCACTCATAATTTTGGTCAGTTTCAGTGCTGACTTCCATTCAATATGTTTCAACAATTAACTCTGCCTTTTTAGCTACTTAAAAACAAATCAGCTTAACTTTCCAGGGTCCCAAAATAATGATGCTGTTACAAAACTGTGTTCAAGAGCTGAAATTAATTTTGGCCTGGAAATAAAGGTTTAAAGATTTTAGGTGCTTGTTTTTTTTTTTTTTTTAATTATTTGAGCTTATTTGTTTATATATTTAAAGTAAACTTTGAATATATAATTTGATTAAGGGCTACTGGATTTTCTTTTTGAATAAATGACCATCAAAAGAAAAATGAGTCAAGAATAGACAGTGAAATATATAGTATAATGGGCAAGAATTCATTTTCCCTTTTTTTTTTTGGTGGGAAGGAAGCCTTAAAATGAATAGTTGAAAAAAAAAAAAGAAAAAAAAAAAACCTTTGAGAAGTCCCAAAAGGGACACACAAAAATAAACTCAAAATGGATGAAAGACCTAAATGTGAAACAGGAATCCATCCAAATCCTAGAGAACACAGGCAGCAACCTCTTTGACCTTGGCTGCAGCAACTTCTTGCTAGACACATTGCCAAAGACAAGGGAAACAAAGGCAAAAATGAACTATTGGGACTTCAACAAGATAAAAAACATTTGCACAGCAAAGGAAACAGTCCACAAAACCAAAAGACAACCGACAGAATGGGAGAAGATATTTGCAAATGACTTATCAGATAAAGGACTAGTATCCACAATCTACAAAGAACTTATCAAACTCAACACCCAAAGAACAAATAATCTAATAGAAATGGGCAGAAGACATGAACAGACATTTCTCCCAAGAAGACATACAAATGGCCAACAGACACATGAAAAAGTGCTCAACATCACTCGGCATCAGGGAAATACCAATCAAAACCACAACGAAATACCACCTCACACCAGTCAGAATGGCTAAAATGAACAACTCAGGAAACAACAGATCTTGGCAAGGATACAAAGGGGAACCCTCCCACACTGTTGGTGGGAATGCAAACTGGAGCAGCCACTCTGGAAAACAATACGGAGGTTCCCCAAAAAGTTAAAAATAGAAGTATCCTATGACTCAGCAATCGCACAACTAGGTATTTATCCAAAGGATACAAACATAGTGATTTGAAGGGATACCTGCACCCTGATGTTTATAGCAGCAATGTCCACAATAGCCAAAATATGGAAAGAGCCCAGTTGTCCATTGACAGATGAATGGATGAAGATGTGGTTTATATATACCATGGAATACTACTCAGCCATCAGAAAGAATGAAATCCTGCCATTTGCTACAACATGGATAGAACTAGAGGAGGGTATTATGTTAAGTGAAATAAGTGAGTCAGACAAAGACAAATACCATATGATTTCACTCATGTGGAATTTAAAAAAACAAAACAGAGGAGCATAGAGGAAGGGAAGGAAAAATAAAATAAGATGAAAATAGAGAGGGAGGCAAACCATAAGAGACTCTTACCTCTAGAAAAAAACTGAGGGTTGCCAGAGGGGAGGTGGATGGGGGGATGGGGTAACTGGGGGATGGGCATTAAGGAGGGCACGGGATGTGATGAGCACTGGGTGTTGTATGCAACTGAGGAATCACTAAATTCTATCCCTGAAACTAATAATACAGTGTATGTTAGCTAAATTGAATTTAAAGAAAAAATTTAAAAAATAATTAAAGGATGTAATCCAGCAAGTCAAGAAAGAGGAAGATATAGGATTGAGGAAGTAGGAGGGCAATAAAGCATCTCTGTAGTAGGCTAGAGAGGAAACAGTCCAGATGGGAGGTTTGAGGAAGAGAAATTCCAGGAGAAAAGGAATATAATAAAATAGAAGGTCTGGAAAAACTACGTTGGGAAATAAAATTAGGAATATGATCACAGCAGATGAGAAGAAAAAAAAACAGAAAACCAAAAACAATTTGAAAAAGTGTTTTTATAAAGGTTATGATCCAACTCTGAAGCAAACTAAAATGTGATGTTCTGTATAATTAAGCAAGTGGTGGACCTTAGGGAAAGAGAGAATCCAGTTGACTTTTGTTTGGCCAAGAGGCTTGTGGCATTGGACTTGCACAAAAGGAACAGTAATGCTAACCCTTCCTTGGTTGGGCACTGAACAGTCCTGACACAGCCCTAGCAACCACTTCCTTGGTTTTCACGTGTTAAAGTCAACCTGTGGGCAAAGCATGGAAAACCAGTTTGTGGTTGGAGGACTGACCATAAGCATCACCTACTGGGACTCCGTGAAAGAGTATGAAGCCCTCAAAGGTGGCATATGAGGTTGGGGGACAGAAAGGACACCATCTGGATTCGTAACTTAATGCTTTTCCTGAGAAACTATTGAAACATTTACTGAATCCTACGCATGGAAAAGAGGTGGAGGGGCCTGACATGGCCTCACACAGGAACATTTTAAAAACAAGGTTTTCAGAAGAGTGCATTTTACTGCTTTCACATAGGCTTCTTACTCAACTTCCTGACTGTACCTTCTAGATATGACAGACCTGTTTTATTGGTGGGTGAAATAAAAAGAAAAGAGCTACTATTTGTACTGGACACTCTCATATGCAAGCTCAAGATCTACCTGAGCACCTGGTCCACCTCAGCCTGGTTGAAGGGCGCCAGGCCCCGCAGCTCCTCGGTGATGGTTTCATTGACCCACTGCACAGCCGTGCTGACCGCATTGGACCTTTCTGCTTGCTCCGCGTCCGCCAGCTCGGGCGGAGTGTTCTCGTGGACTTCAAAGTGCGTTGAGATCACCACCGAACATATGTTCTAAAAATAATATAAACGTGTTCTGCATTTTCCCCTCCCTCTTACAGAAAGGAAGAAATTGAATGTATCCAGCTTTTAAGGCACATGATATTTTATCACCAATTTCAAAGGGAAAATGAGAATATATAATTTTCTTTGAGATATTTTTATAACTGCTGAAACTGTATGGAACCTAACTTCAGGGAACATTTAAAATTATCACCTTGTTAAAATACACTTATAAAAATCTTACATTGAACTTCATTTTTATCACTACCTCTCCAATAAATAGCTAAAAGGATACAGACTTAATCATAATTATTTGCCTCCCAGAGACTGTAGCAAAATTATTTCTAACAAATATGTAGCAATTAAAGTGAATTATTACAATTATGAAAATGAATTTTTCTTTGTGTAGATCAGCCCACATATCTATAAATCTATATAAGTCTATATATAAACATATGAATCTATAAACATACCTATAGATTTATAGAACTCATCACATTAATGATGTCCGAGTTTTAAAACTATTTTTGCCCTACTTCTCCATCTTGGATCATCTTCAGGCTGGCATGTCATGTCTTACCAATATTGCACTTAAACCTAATAAAGCAATATGCTTGCTTTTATGGTTCATGCTTTATGTACACAACTACCTACAACTTGTGTGTATGTGTATATTTCACAAATGCTGAATTTCAAAACATTAATTTTCTACACTTTAGACAATAAATGCTAATAAATGCAATGGAAGCAGGACACAATAAAGAACACATTTAAGCTGCTTCGTACCTTGGGAAAATTTTGAATGGTGCAGAATATTTCCACTTGTAGGGTTGGAAGCCCCAGTCCATCCAATACGTTTTTCCCCACTACTTTGCATATGGTGGGAGGCTTTGCAAGTTTAGAAAAGCAGTTTGCCTTCAACATGCACAAAAAAACAAAAATTACAATACCATGACTAATTTATCTTTAAAAGGTCATTCACATTTGCTCTAGTTTCTACTAAACCTCTCCCTGAGTGTCCTCCTCATGCGGGAAGGGAGGGGTGCTTTAGGCTAGCAACTCTGTGGGAACTGTCCTGCCCTCACATGCTGAGATTTGGATTAACCTGATGTGGAGTCTCCAGGATATGGAACAATCTGTTCTCTTTTGAACTCTCAGCAGAAACTCAAATACATTTCTTTCTTTTTATTATTATAAAATGTGAATTTATTTATAAGCCAAATGAAACATTTGAATGAAGTTATAAAAAAGGAAAACAAAAGTCTTTTATTCTTATAGATTTATTTTAAAAAGTTTTAAATGACATAAACCCACAATATAATTTTAGAAATCAAATAAACTTCTCCATTTTACAGAATAGTATCTAACAAAATATAAAACTGTAAAGCATCTAAAACATATATTTAAAGGTTTTTTTTAAAGAATATATCATTATATTGGCCACTGTTTTAAGTGTATTACCCACATTATTTATGCCTTATAACAACCCTATGGGATCAGTAGTATTTTTAAAAAGCTCCACTCTACAAATGAGGAAACTGAGTATAGAGAGATGAAATAGTTTGTCCAAGATTGCAAGATAAAACTGGCTGAGCTGGGATTCACCTCTAGGCAGGCTGACTCCAGAATCCATGTCAACTGCTATCAATTGATGGGGGAAAGGGAGAAGTCTACCTTCAAATCCATAGCATTCATAGCATGAAGTCTACCTTCAAATCCATAGCATTTTAGGAAGAAAAATAAGCATGAGGAATGTGGTTATACTCCCTGTTTTTATAAGTCAGGAATATGAGGCCCACACTAACTTGGGCTATTCCAGAAGCAGATAATCTTCCATCTGCCATGTTGTCTTCCATTTCTGTTTTGGTGATGGTGCCTCAGAGTGAAATTTGTAGTACATATGAATTTAAGGGAGGAGAAACAAACAAACAAAAATAACTCAGGATTGGAGTCTTAGCCATATTAATTTACTTTGAAACAAACACCTTTGATTTAATTAGATGATTCCAGCTACCCAACGGAGGAGCATAGTTGTTTGAAAATTATTACTTAGTTTCTCTGAAAAGACTCCTATCTGGAAGCAAACTGTCCATCAAACATGACACATTTGGGAATGTTTTCACATACATTTCTTAGAGACCCCATGTCACTTTTTAGCAGGCCCTAACCCATTCTGCTGTCCAAGATATGGAAGTCAGCTGGTCTCTAGAACGCTGTGATGCAAACTTTGGAAACCTTCTGGGGGCCCGTTTTTATTCCTCCCCGCAAGGCATCTGATAGTTTAATGGTGAAGGCTTCTGCAGAGGCCATATTTCACTCACCAGCAGTTTACTCCCAGAACATGTTCAAAGAGGGTTGTTGGAACATTGGTAATAGCAGTTTCACTGATGTGGGAAAGCAGAAGCCATTTGGAAGTGATCCAAGAAAGAGAGGGAAGAGAATGAAACTGAAGCACAAAGCCCACTCAAAAAGCCTGGGTAAAAAGATTCAAGATGGCGTTTCTACACAGAGGAGCAGGAACTGGGAGAGTAGGCGGAGGAAGGGAAGGTGAAGGCACACCCTTGACCTTTTTATCGCCAGATTGTATTGGGCTCTTTATCTGCATTCGTTACAGACCAGGTCTCTGATCTTTGAGTTCAAAATCCAATGACCTCAACCTACATAATAGGTCATCTACTACTCATCAGCTCACAGGTGGTGCCCTCGCACAACTAAAGCAAAAGTCAATTTTCAAGCCATCCATATATATATATGGAGATTTTATTTATTTTTTTTAGAGTGTGTGTGGGCAGGGGGAGGGGCAGAGGGAGAGGGGAAGCAGACTCCCCGCTGAGTGCAGAGCCCCCAGACTGGGCTCTATCCCAGCACCTTGAAATCATGACCCTAGCTGAAACCAAGAGTGGGAGGCTCAACCACTGAGCCACCCAGGCACCACAAACCATCCATATATTTTAAGGATGATGGTTTATATGTTACAGAGTAAGTACCTCAATGAATTTAGATAGAATCAGGAGAGAAAAATATTATCTAGCTTACATGCTGTGTATTATAGTGAATTTGAAATAACTAGCAATGAGTATCCACAATGTACAATATTATGTTAGGAAGAGAAAGGAACTAACATTTTTTAAGTGTCTAATATGTGCCTTGAAGGAGTGACTGTGTCTTGTTTATCGCTGTATCACAGACTACAGTGCCTGGCATATTTAGGATTCCATAAATTAAATCTTGTATAAACTAATATGTGTCAGACACATCCCTGGGAACTTTGTATACATTATGTCATAAAATTCTCAAAACAACTCTGTAAGGTAAATCGTATCATCTCCATTCCACAGACGAGCAAACTGAGTTCCAGAAAAATTGTACAAGGTAAAATAACCAACGTTTTAATTATTCACTGCTTAGTAACAGACCACTCCAAAACTTAGTGGCTGAAGCCATTTATTCACTCATGATTCTACAATCTGGCCTGGGCTCAACTGAGTAATTCTTTTGGCTGGTCTTGCCTGGGGTCTCCGATTCAGACTCCGCGATCTGGAGACTTGACTGGGTCCAGAGTATCCAGGATGACTTAACTCATGTGTCTTAGTGTCTCAGCCAGGAAGGTCAGAACATCCTATGGGCTGGCTGGGCATGTCTTTCTCACAGGATTTTCTGGAGCTGTTACATCTGCCAGAGCCTCTATACCTTGATCTCTCTCTCCAGTAGGGTAATTGGACTTCCTGGCAACATGACGACTGGCTCCCAGGAGGGAGTGTTTCAATACTACAAACCTCAATATGGCAGCACTTACCATGCCTTTGTCTGCATCATGCTTGGCGAGGTGCTCTTGATCAAAGCAAGTCATAGGGCCAAGTTCCAAGTCAGTGTAGGAGAGATTTACATAAGACCAGTCACCCTGATGGTGTGGTTCATTAGGGAACATCAGTATAATCGTCTACTACAGCTACTAAGTGACAGGGCTAAGAATAGAATCAGGTCTGCCTGACTCCCAATCTCAAACTCTTTCAACCATAACTTCTATGATGAGGGACTAAATCGTATTGCTACTGCCCCCAAGGATCTTCCTCATTACCTCAGTTCCTCTAGTATGTAACAGAAGCAGAGAAGAAATGGCATTTGAGCTGAACATTGGAGAATATGTAGTATTTCACTGGGCAGACAAGGGGGAGAAGTCAAGGGCAGATACAAAGGAATATGATAAGCCAGGGGGAGGGAAGGGAGGAACTTCAGGCTTTAGGGAATAGTAAGGAGCCACAAGAGGTTTCTGAGCAAAGGAATGATGGTCAGATTAGGAATCCTGCTCTGGCAGCACGATTCAGGTTGGGCTCGATAGAGGGAGAAACTAAATGAAAATACTGATGGCCAAAACCCACACAGTGACAAAATGAAAAGGACATTGTCTTTTTGCCAGTCCAATTCCTGAACATCTTTCAAAGTCCAAGCCAGGGGGTGCCTGGGTGGCTCAGATGGTTGGGCGTCTGCCTTCGGCTCAGGTCGTGATCCCGGGGTCCTGGGATCGAGCCCCACATCAGGCTCCTGGCTCAGTGGGGAGCCTGCTTCTCCCTCTCCCTCTGCCTCTCTCCCTGCTCATGCTCTCTCTCTCTATCTATCTCTGTGTCTCAAATGAATAAAAAATCTTTAAAAAAAAAAAAAAAAGTCCAAGCCAAAACTTTCTCAGACGTTACAGCCTACAGGGATCTTCCCTACCCCTGAATTCCTTTGACAGGCATACAGTGATCTGTCCCTCAGTCTAGCACAATCACATATCACCTTATCTACTACTCCAGTTATTTTATGTAACAGTGGTTTTTGTCCCTTACCAAGCTCCCAGAGAGCTGTACAAACCAAAGTCCTGGCCGCCTAGTAGACTGGGAAGAACATTACACTGAGGGACCCGAGTCCAAGTTTCTAGTCTTAACTTTTGCACTAGGTAGCTGTGAGACAAGGTCTTGGTGTCTTTGTGAAATGAAGAAGTTAGACTAGTTAACTTAAAAGAATTCATCTAGTAAGAGACAGTGGAAAGAGAACGGAAGTCAGAGTCACATTCATTCATTTGTACCACAAATAAGTGCTTGAGTGTCCACTATGTACCATGCAATCTCCTTGGTACTAGGGACACAGACCTGGTTTGATTTGTCACTGTCATTCACTGTGTCCCTTGGGAAAATCATCTAAATTCACTGGGCCACAGTTTCCTTATTTGTAAAACGGAAATCATAATTTTTACCTCCCAGTGGTCCTAAAGATTAAGTGAAATAACATAAATCACATAGCACTGGGAGCTCAGCACATCCCTCCCCACCCCGCCCCAACCTACAACTTTCACTTATAGGCCATGACTAAGGAAAATAAACATTCATGGAACATTCTCCATATCAACTGCCTCAAGAAGGCTTGGTTTTGACCCTTGTAAACACACCGTGCTTCTTCACTGCATTTACATACTCTGCTGTCCCAACCACACTGCCTTCCAGTAGGAAGGTGTTGGCTAGTACTTAACGGATCTGGGAATGAGAACACGCTTGTTTGTTTCAACTGCTCACTGCCTAAGGCTAAGGTATGTGCCTGATCTTGTGCGGAGCACAGGGGCTAGGCAGGTGGTAGGAAAAGGCCCCTGCTCTCCATGAAGCTCGCAAGCCTAGGGAGGGTCTCATCACGTGCAGGAAATGATTTAGGAACACTCGAGGACAAATAGTTCAGGCGAAACGGGCAAGACTGATGTGAATTTGGGAGTTTGGGTAGCAGCTGGTCGGGTGGGGACAGGGATTCAGGATGAGATGGGTGCACACTGCAAGGAGAGCATAGGCTTGAAAGTGAGACTTGGAAGCAATGAGAACGGGCTGGGCATGAAGCCTAGGGTGGGCTGAGGCCAAGCTGAGGCAAATGCCAGGGCACTTATCCGTGGTCAAACGGAGGCCGCTGCAGGTTGGTAAGCTGAGCTACGCGGTATTAAGGTGTTTAAGAAGAACTGGCAACCAGGCGGACCGGCTCAGAGGTAGCGAGGGAGCCTGCTCGGCCCCGAACGCGCCTAGACCCCGCTTTCCTCTAGCGGCTTCCTGTCCACCACTCTCTCTCTCTCTCTCTCTCTCGATTCCTCCCGCCCAAGTTTCCACACCGCTTCTTCCTTCAGGGTCGCCTCCCAGCAAGACCACGGATCCCGAGCCCGCGGCGGCGGCGCGCGTGCGCGACTCTATGGCGCAGGCGCATGGCGTTGCCGCAGCGTGGGGCGGGGGGAGAGGGGCTGGAGGGAAGAGGGTGTTTGTGCCAGGTCCCTACCAGGTGCCCGTAGACGTCGGCAGGCTGGAGGTAGAAGGTGGAGTTGAGCAGCTCTTCCAGCCTGCGTGGGACGTCGTTCTCCCGGTAGTACTCCATCGCCTGCTGCTTCAGCCTCTGCAGCTCCCTAGTGGTCCCACAGCTACGGCCGCCGCCTTCTTCTCCCATGGTAGGAGATTTAAGGCTACAGCTGGGGTTAGCCTGGGGGCCTGCGAGCGTCCTGCCCGTCGCTAGGCAACGTAATGAGAACCCCCCCCCCCCCCCCCGATCTCGCGAGGCTTCCAGCCCGGGTTCTTGCCGTGGCCGGAGCTGCGCATGGCTCCTGGGCTCTCCTCCCTCCTCAGCTTGAGGGAATGGCCCCGGGGCTTGGGCTCCTTTAGTCCCTACGCTTTTGCTCTGCCGGTGTCATTTTCTACCCCTTTCCCCGACAATAGAATTCACGCTCTCAGGAAATGCTTTCTGCGGAAGCGTGGGAGCGTTAGCCCCGGCCTCCAGCGGGGGACCGGAACCTCTGGTGGCGCATCGTGGTCCCCACGGCCCCGGGCCATCTTGCCTCCCCCTCCCCTCCAACCCCCTCGTTGCTCGCGGTCGGTGAGCTCTTCTGGGTGGCGAGGGTGTCCCATGCTGGCCCACTCATGGGGACCGATATACCCTCACTGGGCCGTGGAGGTACCAGGAATTCATTCATTCGCCCATATTTAGCCCCCTGCCCTGAGCCTAGCAGTGTGCTGTCTGGGCACACTGTGGTGTGCGGGAGAGAACCGGCTACGCGACCCCCCACCCCCACCCTGGGAGATCAGTGGGAGGGAAAACCAGTGTGGCCCGAAAAATTCGGGGTGAACCCCACGAATGGTTATGGCTTGGACAGGCCTAGGGGCGGGGAATGATACAGGCAAGACTTGAGAAGGAAAAGCGGGAATGTAAGACTTCATTGGGTCATATCCCTTCTCTTGTACCTTCAGAGGCTGCCTCAGTCCTACCCTTTCAAATCCAGCTGTCTACTTGGCTTCATTACACCTGCTAGGTGTCATGCGCGATTATAGAGCTTCTTGTGCCCTTTGCTCTAGATACTTCTGCAGGAATGGGCCGAGATGGACAGGGTGTTCTTGTTCTACTCTTGCCTGTTTGTGTTCCTGACTTAAGCAGATCACTTAAAACATCTGTGCTGTATTTTGCTCATCTGGAAAGCAATCCAATCTATTCTGCCTGCTTCACAAGTCACTTAGGATAAGATGAGAAAGTGAATGAGAAAACACTTTAAAACAGGATGGTTATTTTCAATAGATGCATGTAGATGTATAGCAATATGTGATTCAATAAATACTCTTATAGGAACCCAGACATGTACCCCTTTCTGAACTCCGTCAGTGTTGTCTCTGAATCTCTAATGGAACACCTCATTTTCTGGGGTGTGACAGATCCTCATGGGCCTGCCTTACCCTCCTTGCTAGCTGGAAATCCCTCCATGGTAGGAGCCCAGGCTGAGTCACCTTCACATAACCGTCCAGGCCGGGCCCGCAGGGACAGGGCGTGTGCTCTGCTGACTAGTTGAAGGAACCTTCATACAAAATAAGCCAGGGCTGTTGCTGCCCTTGTGCCCATTCCACGTGTGCGCCTTTCCTCCTGTCCCGGTGGATGGAAGGCACCCCCTTCTCTGGGATGCCCATTCTTCAATGCCAGGCTGGGTCCCACACCTGCAGAGAAGCTGTGCTCTGCACCAGCTCTCCTCACTCAGCCCTTCCTTTCTTCAGAACTCCTTCCCCGCTTGCAGCCTGGGCCACAAAGCTCAGCCCTCAGGGATGTCTTGACTCATTTGACACTTTAATGGAAGGTTGGAAGTATCCTGGGCTGGGACCACCACATTTTGGAGTCTCCCATCTATAACCCACTGGCCTCCAGGTTCCTTGAGGAGAGATACTTGGTCAGTCTTGTTCACCATTGTGTCCCCAGTATATTACCTTACAGAATCATTGCTCAATAAATATATGTTGAATGAATGAAAGGATTTTACACATAAAGAATGCTTAATAAATACTTAACTCGAAATGATTTGGATTTGAATGAATAATGAATACACCAGGCTGGCTGGAGCAAAGGATTTGTTTTCAGGAATAATGAGACATCAGGATGGAAAAGTAGGGTGGCCAAGATGGAAGTGGTGTTTTAGGAAGTTAGCTGGCAGCAGTGGGTAAGCTTGGTGGGTGTTTAGTGGTAGAGAAAGCAGGAGACACAGGTAGAAAATCATGTTGTTGTAAGGGCCTGAACCACACTGCTAGCAATGGCAAGAGATGGGTGACATTTAATAGGAAGAAGGATGGAAATCATTGTGAGTGATGGGATGTGTGATTGGGGGACCAAAGATGATGCCATTGAGGATGGCTTGTAGAGTTCTTTTACAGTTGATAGAAATGGGATAGATGAGTGAGTGATGTGGTTTTGGTGGAAGGAACATGGTGCATTTGGTTTTAGATGTGTGGAACTTGTGGAGCACTGGTATCTCAGAGAAAAGGGAGGACTGATGATACAGCGATCACCCATCCACATGGAACTTAAAGTTGAAATAAGAATAGATGAATCCTCTGGAGGGAAAAGGGGAAAAAATATCCTCTTGAAGCAAGGACCTAAATGTTGAGGAAGAAATATATTTAGGACATAGGAGGAGGGTAAGGTGCTATAATAGGCAATAAGCAAAAAGGGCTTTGGGAAGAAAGAAAACAGTCCAAATCCTGATGTCTAAGGCAGAGAGTTTTGTGTTAGATGTGTGTGTGTACATATGCCTAGAATAAAATCGGAAAGAATATATGTTAGCATATTAATTCTGTTGTCCTTGGGTAATGAGATCATTGGGAATTTTAATTTTCTTTTTTTAAATCTTTTTTTTTATAAGATTTTATTTATTTAATAGAGAGAGAGAGAGACAGCGAGAGAGGGAACACAAGCAGGGGGAGTGGGAGAGGGAGAAGCAGGCCCCCAGCCAAGCAGGGAACCCAATGCGGGGCTCGATCCCAGGACCCTGGGCTCACGACCTGAGCTGAAGGCAGATGCCCAACTGACCGAGCCACCCAGGTGCCCCAATTTTCTTTTTATATATTAGTATCTGATTTTCCTAAAATGAATGTGCTGCTTGTATAACTTTGGACAATTACATTAAAATATTTGAAGGAAGAATATTACATCACATTAAAGACTGAATTAAAGGAGAATTAAGGACTGAAAAAAAGAGATCATTAGGAACACAGTGGTTCCCTTATAGAATCATCCCATCTTCTTAAAAATAAAACTATATGTAGGCTAAATAAATAGCTAAAACCACCATCCCTGTTTACTTCTGTCATTCACTCAATCAACAAAGAGTTATTGAATGTCTACCATGTGCCAGATGCTCTTCGGGGCACTGGGAAAACAGCAGTGAATAAAATAGGTAACATTTTCTTCTCTTCATGGCACTTAGTTCTCGTGGCCCTCAATCCTAGCACTTACATCCTGGTGAGCCATCAGGACAATAAACTGCATTAAGAGATGTGAAAGCATTTTGAAAAGTTGGTATGCTAGGGTTTATTAACATCCTATTAGTATTGACAGAGCCAGATGAAATAAAATGACTATTCATGAATATTTCAATTTTCTTATTTTCTGTAGATATTAGAAGCACTGGGGTTTTAGCTGTAAAATATATTCATGTGCATGCTTACTGTATACATACTTCTCACATTCCTTGTTTTAGTACCTTGGTGATTATATTTCCATTTCATATTGAGACTGAATGTCCAGGCACTCAAAGAACATCAGAGCTTGAAAGGGTTTGAGTGTTGCTAACCCTAAAGGTATAAACAGAGGAGTTGAGGGGAAGAAAAAGAAGGGAAGGAAAGGCAAAGGAAAGGCTCAGGAGATAAGGAAAGTTCTGGAACATATCCAGGGAGGGAGGGTAGGACTATAGTCTCCTCCTTTAGATAGAGGACACAGCCATTACTGTTGACTTCCCATGGATGGGGCGCCCACAGTAGAAGGGAGGTATGGTGTGGGACAAGGGCCATTTGGGAAGTAGAAGACAGATTGGAGTCCCACCTGTCCCCCAGATCTAGACCTCATCAATCAAATGAGTGGCTGGACTAGAGCAATAGTTTCCTAAGCGTTTTGAATAGGAAGACTCCTTTTTAACAACAAAAAATCGAGGGGAACCCCCCCCATATAACAGTGGTTATATGCAGTGAGTATGAATTCAGTAGTATGTCTGGAACAATTGTATGCATTTCATTCATGTAAACTCCATACATACAACAAAGAATATGTTTACAGGCAAGCCACTCTCCAGTGTCGGGTGTGTGTTTGGTGGATGTTTGGAATGGCGAGCCCCTTGCGCACAGTGCACGGGCTTCTCAGGGAGCTCGACTGAGAGCCATGGAGCCAGGTTTCCTCATCCTAGACCTGTACTATTTTGTAGCTCAGATTCAAGATAAAACATCAGGACATATTAGCCTAGTCCTATCTGCTAAATGAAGACCCTTCATGGAGGAAATTAATCATTCTTCAGTCTGCATTTCAAAAAGGATTTCTAAACTCAGACATTTCCTAAATGAATGAGGAAAAGAAAAATATATTTGTTCATTTTCCTTTAATCCTTTCCAACACCTTTATATAAATTGGAACTTGTTTGCCATGACTTTAATGTTCAGAAGTGATTGTTTAGATGTTATTTTGGGGTTGCTATCAAGTGCTTGTTAATTCTTGCCTGCATTTGCCATCTGTGTTGAATATCATTTTTCATAGGGAACTAATGAACATGATTGCAGGTGCCTTTAATCATAGAATCATAGAAACTGGAGACAGAATAGATGGAAATGTTGCCTTTTCCCCATCTAGAAAATGGGATTAATAATGTTACCCCTCCTCGCCCAGTTGTCATGAATGAGAAATAGGATTGCCAAGCTAATTGCAATATAAAGAGCTGTAAATTAAATGCTAAGTAATAAGAGTAGGAATGATTTCACTAATAATAAAACGTTTTTTGTAATTTGATTTTTTTCATTACCAGTGTCTCCCAACAGTAGTCATTACTCCTGTGCTAGAAATAACAACAAAAACCAGGGCAACAACTACCACTGAGGGAAAACTTTTATCTACCTGGGGTTTTCCTTATATCATCCCATTGAATCTGCAAAACAACCACAAAAGGTAAGCGGTTGGCTCAA